CTGGCCCCTTCGGTGCTGCCATCATCAACCAGCAGGGTCCTACTGTAGTCCTTCTTATCTATAGAAGCCGCAAGAAACTCTTTCTTCTCCTCACAAGCCTCAGCTATTGGCTTGGAGAGCACCTTACGCTTGGCCGCAAGGGCCCGAGATGACATCCCCTGAGTTGAGGGAGGAGGCGGAAGTTGGTGAAGTTGACCTGGGGGACTCATCCTGAGCTTGTGGTTGGCTTCTAAAAATCGTTCAAGAGTGAAAGAATTCCAAAGGGTTTCCCCTTCGAGAATTATTTTGAAGAATTCAATGAATGCTTCAGATGGGAGAGTCGGAGCGACGAAAACTGTGAAATGAAACAACGGTTTTAGTCAATAAAAATAATAAAACAACCGGGAAAGATATGGGCGACCTATTCTCTACCAGGTTTGGCATACCACTTCGAAGGGAGTAAATCTGCAAGATTTCCAATCGAAGCGGGAGTTTTCTTAATCATAAACCAAGGATGGTGCCAATTTTCATCCTTGTTTGGAAGATGCGAAATGATGTTCCTGTTGGCGTTTGGATATGCTGAGAAATACCCCGTTTTCTTCGATGAACTTCTCACGCTTAGAAGCTCATTTAGCTCAGCGATTCCGATAACATATCCGGCCTCCGCCGCGATTGTTATAATTCTGAGAATAGTTCGAAGAAGATTGGGGGTTAGTTGAGGAAGAGCGATTTCAAGAGCCGCTAGGTATCGAACTAGGGCTTCGGGAAGGGGAAAGGTCAGCCCGCAACCTTTAAAATAGATCTCATATACACAGAAATAGCCGTCGCGGTGGCTTTCTGGGGACTCCGTGGGATCGGCTATCTGCGCCTCCGCCATAATTCCCGGTGAAATTCGGCAGAGCTCCCTCAATCGTTCGAGAGATTGAAGGGTACAGGTGGTTCTGTAGTGCGGACCAGCAATATCATTAGGGCGGGTGCACTCGTCATTACTAGAACGCCTCTCATCGAATGACGGAGACTTGGGTCTATCGGAATCAGAAGTCATCGGGAGGAATGAAAAATTCAAGTTTCGGCAAAGAGAAAATCAGCGAGGAAAGAGAAGAGAGGAGTTTCGATTAAAGCGTAAAAGTAGAAAATGATGATGAAAAGAAGTTACCTTACACAAGCTAAATGATGGAACCGCCTCGGAAGTTGTGTGGGAAGTGGGAAGGTTTTTTCCCGTTTTAATAGTAATTAATTAATATACGGTCATAATGATGACAGATGTCACTCGGTTAAAAATGGCTAGTGCCGAAATTAAAGGAGTGATGAGATTTTCGGCGAGAAACTAGAACGATCCTCCGAATTGGAATGGCACTTCGAAGAACTTGGGGGGCTAATTGTTGGTGTCGGATCCCGCACCAAAGGTCCAGGACCAACCAAAGATTGCCACGTAGTCAGGGTAACGGCCCATAAAGGATAAAGCAATTATACCCACAAGTCAAAAGAACAGTCGAAGTGGCTATCACCATAAGGAGAATCCGAAGTGACTACACCTCGACACGAGTCCGGAGACGAAGTCATGGTTAAGTCAGTCCAAGGACATTTGGGCCAAAAGGCGAGACACATGAAGATCAGAATCAACTCAAAGTCAAACGTTAAGCATTAAAAGCAAAGATCAAAACGGACACATTTAAGAGAGAATAATTGTACTTAATTAGCCACTTAAATGTCGTTTTTCTATGTATAAATATAAAGGCCAATGGCCATGTATGGGGGATATATCTCTCTGGAGGAAGAAACACTACAACAATTTTTGTAGTAATTCATAAGCTTTTTGCATATTTATTTTTGTCCCTCAAAAGTAATCTTTTCTACTTAATAAAAATACTTGAGTGTGTGAATCCGACATCCACGATACATGTCCAGTAAAACAGGTCCCCAATGCGATCTTGAAAGTTTTAATATTCTAATTAGAACATAACATGTGGCAAAACTATAATTCACCAAATCACGACACATTTCAATTACTTGATTATATTTTAATACATGGTTTAATATTTATCAATTTTTTAACTTAAATATATCTATAATTAGTTTTATTTTCGTAAAAAAAAAGATAACAAAATTATTAGTAAAACACATATCAATATATTTTTAATATACATGTGTATATTAGAAAGAAAAGAAAAAAAGAGAGACACTATTAGCTTAGAATAAGGATAACTAAAGTTCAGAGTATAATAATTTTTAAAATAGACACCCTTGCAAATATGTTGTTTTATATATTTTTCTTCTCCTTTTGTTTTGTTTTTGTTTATTTTCCTAAGATAAGTGTAAGATATAGATGTCAACAAAATACATAAATGTCAAAACTCACAATTGTTGTTATGGGTGATATATCTAAAAAAAATATGAAAATAATTCAAGTATGTTAGTAAAATATATATGTCCCAACCTAAACAAATTACTAATAAAAAAAATCTTCTTCATGTTTCATTTTCCCACGAAAAAGTATATTTACCTAATGTTAATTAAATTGAAAATTATATTAGAAGAGGGCATTTCACGAAGTAAAAAACTCAGTTAGGACATTAAAACATGAACACCACAAAAACAATTGTTAAAAAAACTGAAAAAAAAAATTATGAGGTTATTTTCCAGATTTTCTACAATCACTTCAAAATAATTACTTGGTTTTCGATAAAACTTTAACTTTACTTTTCATTTTTGATTTGCCTCTTATAGCCCCAAATCAAGTTTTTTGGACAAGAATAACACTCAAAAGTTTATTAGACCAAAATAGCACTTTATTTTTGATTTTTTAAATTAATAAATAATTATAAATAAATACAAAAAATCACAAATTCATCGTTAATATTTTCCCGCCAAACAAAATCCCGTCAAAATTTTCCCGCCAAAAACATTTCGTCAAAATTTTCTGCCAAAAAAATTTTCGTCCACCTTTTCCCGCCAAAAAAGAATCCAAGAAATTTAGGAAGGATTCCACAAAATTTAGAAAGAATTTCACGTAATTTAGGAAGGAGTTCAGGAATCGTGAAACCCTTCCTGAATTACGTGGAATCCTTACTAAATTCATAAATTCATGAAATCCTTCCTGAATTACGTGAAATCCTTCCTGAACTTCGTTGAATCCTTCCTGAATTTCGTGCAATCCTTTCCTGCAATTCAAGGAATCCTTTCTGAATTCCGTGAAATCCTTCCCAAATTCCTTGGATTTTTTTGGCGGAAAAATTTTGATGGGGTTATTTTTTTGCGGGAAAATGTTTGGAAATATTTTTACGTTGCGAAATTTTTTTGGCGGGAAAAATATATTTTGGCGGGAATTTTCCAATTCTATTTATTTATTTATTTTAATTAAACTAATTATTCATATTTAATATTTAATTAAAGTTTATAGTGTTATTTGCGGAACTTTTCAAATGTAGTGCTATTTTTGGAAGAAAAACTTATTTTATTGTTACTTTTTGTCAATCTCCCTATTTATAAAACAAATTTGAATATATAAATAATTTTTTTTCACATATTTTATATATTTTCATTTTCCAATAAGTTTAAGAACTTATCTAATTTAATTTTTAATATATTAACAAATTTAGATTTGACACGTGGCGACATCTTATGTTTTACTTGACATGTGTCGCAATCACATATGTGAGTTAGCAACTTTGAAAATCCAACTTTATATACTAAGATTTTTTGATAGGATACGAAAATTTTACTTCTTTTTACAAAATATTTTAACAAATTCTATTCTTTTTTATATATAAACATTTTTTTACTTATGTTTAAATATTTTTTTCCAACAAAAATAGGAACATTTTCAGTTTAATCTATAAATATATCCACAAATTTATATTAGACACGTGATGACATCTAATGTTTTACTTAATACGTGTCGCGATCACGTGAGTTAGCAACTTTGATGTATACACCCAAATTAGAATATGATGATAAATTTTTCCTAAATAGAATATAAAAAACTTACATGTATTGCTATTTCAAAAATATTATTTAAAAACATTTAAATAGTCTATATAAATCGGTTTGGTTTATTTGACACTCTTCAAACGGTCATAAATAGTGGACGTGAATAGGCATGGCCAAAAGCTAACCGTAACCGTATTTCGGACTGTAACCGGACCGTTTCTCAACCGTAACCGAACCGTAACCGTATAAAACGGTTAATAACCGTAACCGTTAACCGTAAAAATAAATTAGTTACGGTTAAAAAATATACTAACCGTAACCGTTAATTAACCGTAAACGTATCAAAACCGTTAGTTAACCGTACGGTTAACCGTGCGGTTAACCGTATAGTTAACCGTGCAGTTAAAACCTAAAATACATAATTATTTCACTAAACCAGTGCCTTAAATGGTTCAATGCGCCCCACTATTAAATTTAAACCACTCCACTCGTCCACTACTCATTTTTCACAATCAAATCATAAATAATTTACAAGTTATTATTTTCTCCTGTAATCGTTTCTTAATTCTCATAACATCCTTTCTATAGTATTGTTTGGAATACGTATTGTCAATAAAATAATAACTCAATCATTATAATTATTACCATTGATTTAGTTATTCGTTGGTTTACTTAACAGAACAAAATAGCTAATTAATTATAAATATAAAAGTACATAATTACATATATTATATATTTTAAAATATATTATATATTGTAAAATATATTATATATTGTAAATTATATATTATTTGATATATCATCATTAAATTTTTTATTCTAAAACTTAAAAATACTTAAGTTTTTGTCTTTGATATTAACCGTATCGTAATAATTAAATAACCGTAACCGTATTTAACCGTAACCGTTGTAACCGTAACCGTATTTAACCGTAACCGTTTTAACCGTATATATAACGGTTAAGATTACGGTTAGAGAAATTTTATAACTATAACCGGAGGTTAATAAACCGTAACCGCAATAACCATAACTGTGGTCATGCCTAGACGTTAAACGTCACTTAAATCCAGAAAAGTAAATCTTTCAATTACACGATGTTTCGACCGTTTGGTCTCTAAAACCCAGAAAATAACACCGACTTAGAGAGAAAATCCTCAATTATAAGAACTCTATTCTCTGCCTTAAGACGCAACGGTCTAATTTTGTTTCTCAAAATTCAAACAAAGATTTTCTGATTTTTTGTTTCTCTCTGCAACGATCGACCTAGAAGATCGTCGCTGAAGCAAAAGACGGAGAAGGAGGAACTCGAAAATTCATATAGAAGGAGCCAAATCGCGAAGGAATTGAAGCCTGACATGTTCGTAAGTTGAAATTCAAACAAGTTTGCTTCTGATATTATGCTTTTCTTCTGGAACTATCATCTAGAAGATGACGGAACTCTGCGTCGATGAAAGGATTGACTCAAGGAGGAGGAACTCGAAACGCATAAGATTGGGGTAAAAAAAAAAACCTGCAAATCATGAAGAATTTCATGTTCGTAAGTGTTACTAGGGTCTTTGTGATTCTTAATTTTGTTATATTTCAAGGAGATTGTTAATTCTTATATCTTTTGGTTGATCACTGGCACAATTGTATCTTTGTTTGTCGAGGTTTTTGATTCAATTTAAGGTTTGATGATCGACAAGGAAAAGACGGAGGATGGACTCAAGGAGGAGGAATTGGGAACGCTTGTGGTGGAGCGAATCCTTAAGAATTTCAAACCTAACATGTTCGTATAAGTTACTTACATGTAAATAATTTCTGCGTTTTCGACTAGCCGGTATTTTCAGCTCCTCTGTTGATAACTGGAAAGATTATATTAAGACATAATATATTGACTATGCCAGCATGTTTTAGCTAATTCTTGGTGTTCGCTTGTAAGACTTTTTATATAAGTAAGATTGAGACCTAGTTGGGTCCCTATGATTTTATCTTCTGTTTGGATACCAATCTTATAAGGAGCAAGATGTTGCAAATTTTCATATTTTTGAATGTGCTGCAGTTTTACTCTTTAGTTATTGGGGGATGCTGTTAGTATTGTATTTTATTGTGATGAATTGTTGCCTCTCGACTTTTGAGGTAGCCCTCATTGTGATGGATTTCATCTTTTCAGTTGAAGGCCTTAAGTATATATTTGACATGTTGAATTTAGCCACCTAACTTTTGTTTTCTCCCGAGCGTAGGAGGATCAAGAAGCAGCAGTTCGTCTAGCGAGCACAGCAAAATTCGTTGAAGGGAAGACCAGTGCAGGTACCATATTTTGTTATTGTTAAGTAATAGTCACTAGCTCTGAAAGATTGTTTAATAAAGTCTGCTTGCAGGCCCGTATATTTGAGGGTAAAGAACCTCCACAAGTTGTTGCAATTTTTCAACATATGGTGGTCCTTAAGGTATTTCTTTTGATTGTTATTGATTATTGATGCAAGGCAATATATTGGTAATTGATACTTTTTGGGTCGTTTGAGCTCTGGTTACAAAAATAAGATGACAGAGAAAGGTTCATTAGACGAAACCAACACGCTGGAATCAACTGCATTTATTTATTCAGGTATCTGGAACTAGCTGAAGTTCACAATAACAAGGCTCTACAAGTTGAAGCGGTACTTTGCTATCTTACTTTCTCTCTTGTTAAGTGGTTTTTCTACTTAAGACTGTTCAAAACTTGACTACCTATTCGTGATAGTGTAATGTTAGAATTTAAAAACGATGTCTGGATGTTGTTTAGTTTGTATCAAGAAAGACGCATTTTACACCTGGGAATCTGGGATCATCTTTTTTCTTGCTAACTCAGCATGGGATTAATGTCAAGCACGCAAAAGAGGCAACCAACATTGTAAGTAACCCTTTGATGATTCATCCACATACTTATCTATGGAATTTTGATAGATTATTAAGAGACTATAGAAGCTCATATTGTCAACAAATTTACTTTCTATTATAGAGTTCATGATGAAGAAAGGCTGTGTTCTTACTCCTCACGCAAATTACAGTCTCCCTGGCATAACCAGAGCAATTGTAAGAAAGAGACATTCTTTTCTATTATTTTCTTTCACGGTCATGGCGAAACAGAACTTCATCTTAGAAGAAAGAAGAATCAGTCTCTCCGAATTCCATACAGTTGATGAGGTTCTTTCAGGTTACAAATGATCAGTTTAATCTGTGTCTCTCTCTTTCTCTAGAAAAATATAACATTGGTTTTGTTTTTTCAGGTATGGACAACATGAACTATAGCAGAACTAAGCCCGGTATGTACAGTCTCTTGTAGCTTACGCATAAAATATCCTCAATCGTTCTGCACCTACATCTATGACATTTACTAAATGAAACCAATAATAGTTTTCTCTAAAACTTTGAATAAATGTAACCTATAGTTAAAGTTCTTGATGACATCTTCAAAGGATCTTACTTAACCATATGAAAACATTGTCTTTGAGCATAATAATCTCCTCTTCTTTGGTTACAGGTTGTGAAAATTGATGGGCGTGTGATTGGTGACGGATAAGTTGGACCGGTAATGTGAACACTGCAAAACGCTTACGAGAAACTGATAGAGGATTCAGGTATGCCAATACCTACTTACCAAGAAACCTGAAATACAGAACCAGAGGTAAATAAAGTTGCTAAAATCTGCATCTATCTAAGAGTAGTATATCAAACTTTTTGGCTATGATCTATTCGTAGCTTACTAAATGCAAGAGTAGAATAAAGGTTTGATCTTTCACATGATTCAATTGGTTTTGAGTAAAAAAAAAAAAAAAGCTTTTACGTCACATTTAATAGATTTCCTTCCACATAAGTAAAGAAGCTCTTTCTTTTCAGGTGATACCGATGTTACGTTTTAGCCTTCTTGTTGGTCGTTTCTTCTTATTTTCCATCTTGAAATATGAGAACTAGTGAACATTCATCTTTTGGAATGCCATGTCTATAAATTTATGTCATACAAATGGTTGTGAGTTTTTCAAAACCATTTTTAGTCAGGTATTATGATTTTGTTAGCAGTTTTTTGGCCTTCCATTAGAAGTTCATAATATTCATTGCTTGTTGTAGATTTGAAATGATCCAGGAACCCTCACAACCCTTTTGTCTTATATTACAGGTGATGATTCTTGATTGTTTCGTCACTCCAACCTAGCTAGAAATCAAGAAGTCCGTTGATGAGATTTTGCACTTCTTGTGATTGTAATTTTCGTTAAGTCTTACCCTTTTTTGGGAGTCTTTCACTTACTAGGCTTTGATGTACCTATAGCTTTTCCTGCTCTTTGTTTTTTTACAGTTTCATTGGAAATATAGGTTCAGTGGCTTGAAGGTTCAGTGGCTTGAACATTCTGGAGATGGATTAGGTACACTGACTAATTACTGACCAGAGTGTTCTCCATGATCAAGTAACTAATTTATGGCAATGCTTTTGTCTTATAATGTAAGCTTGCACCAATATGATATTGTGCATAATATTTTACAGGAAACGATAAGCAGTCCCTTTTTGTGGCAATGCTTTTTCTGCAAGTTTGTGTGGGTTTTAAAATAAAATGTGTTTTGCGGTTTTTGGCGGAAATATATTAATTTGCTGTTTTGATTGGAAAATTCAACTTTGCGATTTTGGCGAAAAATAGGAAATCATATTATCTAGGACCTCATGGGTTGCCTAGTTGGTCATGGTCCTATTTGAGTTTGGTCTTATTTGGACACGGTCCTATTTGGATATGGACCATCAATGTCTAGAAAACGGAGTTGTCCATTTGGACATGGGCATTTGGACCTTGACAGCCCAATTGACATCCCTACTTGTAACTAGTGTATGTTTCCGATGATCAGAAGCTTTGCTGGACCTGAAGGAAGATTCTGTTTCGATTTCTTCATCTTCTTAGTGTAGATTGACGTGAAGAGAAAGGGAAAGGATAGAAGCAAGAGGAAAGATAGAAGAATCACCAATGTTTTCGTCCTTTTGTTTATTTTTGAAGATGAAGATACAAAACAACAACGTTTTAGTACAAAGTTACATGTTATATAAATCTAGGGTTATTAAATACATGACAAAAAACGTATATAGTAAAAATATTAGTACATCAAGTTAAAAAATATCATTATAAGCTATGGCTACCTTTTTTAGTAAAGGATATATCTAACAAATTAAAATATAGAGAAAGAAAATCAAATAAAGGAAGAATACATTTGTAGTATCCAAAACGTTTGATTTCTATATTATAATTGACCTTTATAAGACATGGACATGTGTCAAATTTTTATTATGGCAAAAAATATTCCATTTAAACAAAAAACAGTTAGTTATTTTGTATTTCCAATATATATACATAAAAAAAATTAAAAAGACAAAATTTTCTAAATTAAAGGTCCTAACACTTAAATAGAAACTAAAGAAATATATTAAAAAATATAGAAAGAATAATCAAATAATGGAATTGACCAAAAGAAAATGAATTTTAGTACAAAATATTTCACTTACATCTTTTAATTGTAAATAATAAAACCACAATCTAGACATGGACATAGGGTAGTTTTTCATTTTTTAAAATTCAGTCGGGTAATTTTATATTTCACAAAAATATATATTATATATTACATAAAAATGGAGACAAATAATTGTATATTTACTAAGTTTTATCCCATGTCATGCACGGATAGCTTCGTTATATAAAATATTATAAAGATGATTAGAAACATTTCTTATAGTTAAAAAGATATATAATATATTTTGATATGTTCTAATAATATTTAGTAAATATTTGATTGAATTTATAAAAATTGACTTTCCTTTTCTATAAAAGAGATTAAAAGATTTTAGAATTTTAATCAAGTATATATTTGGTGTTGACAAAAAAAAATTCAAGTATATATTTGGAGATAAAATTATATATTTTCCCTCCTCATTTTTGTATTTATTTGATAGATTAGAAATTAGTATAGATATAATTAGTAGATTGACGCTATATCATAGCAATGGCGATGAAGACATATGAGTAGCAATGGCTATGAAGACCTATAAAATACAGTAATTATATGAAAAAAATCACTAACCACCGCAACGAGAGTACTTATAAAAATTATCTACTTTCATTAAATTCTTGGGGCTTTTGCAAAAATGCCACTTTTTCAATGCTACTTTTCAAAAACACTTCTTTTTTAAAACCTTATAAAAAATGCTCTTAAAAATATAAGATTTACCCAAATATGTATGTAATATTATTAAAACATACACAAACTACATTTCTATGTATCTAAAATCTTATAAATACTTTATAAATACCTTATAAATGCATTTTAAATACCTTTAAAAACTTTTAAAATATCTTGTAAAACCTTTGAAAAACCTTAATAATCCTTTAAAATAACTTGTAAAACCTTTAAAAACACCTTATAAAACCTTATAAATACTTGGATCGAGTCTTCAAGTAGTAGTTACAATCCATAAGTACCTTATAAACCTAATAAAACTTTATAAAAGTTTCAGATTTAAAAAGGAGCATTTTTGAAAATGGACATCTAAAAGGGGCATTTTTGAAAAGGGACACACCAAAAGGGGTATTTTTAACAATTTCCCTAAATTCTTTATCCTTGATCTGTTTATTGGACCTTATACCAATAAAGACCTATGTAATCGTTGGGCCCTGTGCTATGTTAGATGGATACCAGTCATCTGCATGCTGTGATTTAAATGGCCAGGGTCGGCTCAACAAATTATTGGGCCATGTGCTGTGTTGCAATTTTTTTTTACTTGATGGCCTACATGTTTAACATTTAAAAAATTAGATCCTATTTTGTAATTATTTGAACAATTTGGACCTTAAAAAACAAAGAAAAAAATATTATATATATGAAATTTGGTCAACTTTCTCCATCTTTTCGCCATGTCAACTCACCAGAGAGTGCCACGTGTCCACAACTGAATCACTAAAAAAACCATTCGCTTCATCTTTATCTGTCATTTTCGTCTTCTCCGTACGTTTTTATCGGTTTTATAAAAACAAAAAAAATAGAAACGGATTGGTGACGATTTGTTTTCCTCGGTCTTACGCTTCCCCGGTTTTATAAAAATAAAACCACATAAAAATCATATACAATTCGGCTTGGTTCGATTTTGGTTATTTTCAGTTTATTCCCTAATTTTTTTACAAAAAAGTAACATTAGATTTTATATCTTGAATTGTATCATTTTGATTCAGATTCGATAAAACCATGAGTACATTCCAACATAGTTTACCAATTGATTTTCTTTTCTCCAACATGCATGTATTGATATAAACATGCTTAAAAACATTATTAGATTGAGAAAAGTTATTTATCTAACTAATATTACCAAGAAGCTTTTTGCAAAAATAATTAAAAGCCAACCAAATAAATGTTATTATAATAATAAAATATAAAGCAAAAAACGAATGGTTAAAACCAAACCGAACCGAAACCAAAACATTTTTAATAATTATCGTCGAACGGGTTTTTGGAAGAAACCAAAACCAAAACTAATCATATAACTACGGTTTGGTTCAATTTTTTGGATAAGATTTTTTTGCCACTCCTAGTTTATTACTGCGGAGATAAGTTTATAATTTATTTATATCGATAAAATAAATTATAAAACAGGAAAGACAGTGGATAAAAAGTGAATATTTATAACACTAATAAAACAAAATTGATCAATAAAAATATTTAACATTAATTTAAAATAAAAATAAAAAAAAGCCCGCTCATAGAGCGGATATTGACCTAGTAAAATTAAAAATAAGACTATGTGCTCCTGCACACTCAACACACCCCAAGAGCCGGGCCTGCAAAAAGGCCATAGAATAGCCCAAAAAATGATAGCACCGAGAAGAACCAAATAATACTTCACCAAATGGAGACATATCATACGACATCTAATAAAAGTAAAATATGTGCAGTAGAATACCAATTAGATCCACAAGCTAAGCCATTCTCATTTGAAATAGATTATTGTTAAACTGTACTTAATTGGTTAGTGGAGAAACTATGAACTTACATGTTCTTGAATAGCGTTAAACCAAAAGTGGGAAAGTGATCAAACCCACATGCAACTCCAATACTACTAAAGAACGTCACTTGAAGCAACTCCAAACTAAGCTACAAAAATCGACTTTCTTCTCAAAAATTGAGAATTTCTGGTAGATTACACCGGCAAATTAGATAATTATTTTGGGAAATGGTCATTCTGATTTTTTTTTTCTAGTGATTCCTCTCATGGAAGAACACCATTGGCGAAGTAAATTGTAGTTGACGAATTGTAATTATAAACTTTGTGATGGATCAAGATGTTTAATTGGTTAAACTATGAAATAATAAAATGGACATCTGTCCTTCAATTAAACCAAACCAATTTTAAACTAAACGATTTTAATTTTTGATGGACTCGGTTCACCGTGAACCAAAAGAATCAGTTTAGAAATTGGTTTGGTAAATGGTTTAATTGAAGAAACACTCTTCAACGGTCAAATCAAAACACAATCGAAATATATAAATCGCGTAAGCCTTGGACACCAAGAGTCTATTTAAATTCACAAAAATATCAGTTTGGATATCGAAATTTGACCGTTGGGCTCTCAGAGGCTCTACCAAATTCTAACATCTCCGACTCCGACGAAGAAGTTGAGAAGCAGTGGAAAAGTTAGATCGTGGAGCCACCGTTGTCGCCGATCTCAGCGAAGTCGTTGGAGAAAGATCTAGTGGAGTAGGAGGCGATGTTGGAGAAAACAGACGATTTTCTGAAGGAGAATGGATGATATCCTGAGGAAGAAGAAGATGAAGAAGGAGAAAGTCTCGACCGTGTTCGACGGAGATGCTAGATTGGCGGAGGAGCCGAATTACAAAGAATTCCACGGTAACAATACTCGTGATTCTTCTCTAGATATTCGGAGGCTAAAGGTTATTGAGATTTGATTAATTTTGTAGAGTCTTTGGAATTGAGTTTTAGGTCAATTCGCGGGGAGTGAAATTGCCGATTTTCGAAGAGGATATCAGCAATTGAAGATTCGATTGATTACAAAATCGAGGATTTGAAGTAAAACCCTGAAAGTGGAAGCTTTTGTTTCTCTGATTCTGGAAAGTTTCCAGTATCCATCCTCTTGATTAAATTCGTATCCTTGCTTGTTTAGGGACGCTAATTGTATATCTAAGAAGATTCTTGGATATAGTTATGGTGATGCTTCTTAAATCCGAAAGAGAAGCAGACGGTCTCTTTGGAAAGTTGTGATGTAGTGTCTCCCTAATCAGGTTTCTTTTCTGGATTGTTGTCTTAGTAGGAACAAGCTGGCCACAATTCTTGAAGAGGAAGAAGCGAGATGGAGAATGAACACCAGTAAGATACTATTTTCATTGGTCAATGGAGAAACATTATAACGGAGAACAGCCGTTGCAGCATACATAATCTTGAACCTCTTTCGTCTATATACCTTTAGTTGGTATGATTTTGATGTGACATGTAAATTCTAGCTTTACAGAATCTCATATTTCTTGATTATTTGTGTGATGCAGGATAAGCTGAAAGGATACTCAAGCCAATCATAAGGATGTTATATGTAGAGACAGTATCAACATAATCAGTAGATTTAAATGTCTGTTATATTCACTTTTTAGTTTTACATAAAGTGTGGATACTCTTTCACTGCCAACTATTAATACGTCTTTGTCCAGGCGTCTCAAACACATGACCCTTTTCTCATTCGCCAGGTAAGTGTAGCTTTTCTGTAGAGTTTTCCTCCCTTTGGATATTCAATACGTGGTTTAATAGCTGTTGAAACTTATTACTACTGAATATTTATTTGGTTACAACATGAGCTGAAATTCATTTGACAACAAGAAGGAGTATTTTGTCATGAGTCAGTTGGTTCACGCATTCAAATAAGTTCCTTGAATCCTTTTTACTGAATTAGTTTGTGTTCCTTTCACCTTTATCACTTCTCTGCAATTGTTCATTATTTTTTCTTTTTAACAGGTTTTCTTTTTACCTGATTGATCAATACTTCTTTATGTTGTGTCTTGGAGTTGCCCGAATTAATATCCTTTCATAATGTTTCCTTCTCTGAGTATACCTGATTGATCAATACTTCTTAATTGGCTTTTATTTTCTCATTTTCTCACAACCATTTTTAGTCCGGTGTGTAAGTGGTTTGGCTACTTCTTTCTTAAGGACTATGTCATTGATTTTGTTAGCAGGCTCTGTTTTTTTTCTCCCAAGTTTAGGAGGATCAAGAAACAGCAGTTCGTCTAGCGAACACAATGAAAAATTCGTTGAAGGAAAGACCAGTGCAGGTACCTTGTTTTGTTATTGTAAGTAATAGCCACTAGCAATGAAGATTGTTTAATAACTTGATCTTCTTGCATGCTCCTATATTTGAGGGTAAAGTACCTCCACAATTTGTTGCACTTTTCAACATATGGTTGTCGTTAAGGTATTTCTTTGATTGTTGCTGCAAGAAAATCTATTCGTAATTGATATAGTTACTTTAACTTTTAGGGTGATTTGAGTTCTGGTTACAAAAATAGAATGACAGAGAAAGGTTAATCAGACGGAATCAGTTGCACTTATTCAAGTATCTGGAACTGGAGTTCACAATAATAAGGCACTACAAGTTGAAGCGGTACTGTTCTTCTTTCTTTGTCCCGTTTTCTTAATTTTCATTCTCTTGTTTCAGTTGATGGCTGAAGAGATAGGATTGGTGGTTAACGTTGACTGTTTCAGAATAGCCGAAAGAGAAGCAAAGTAAGGATCAAAGAGTGCACAAAGAAATGAGGTCCCATATTTAGCTCTCCCTGTACTTTTTATTTATACAGTTGTTTGATGCTACAATAACTTTTAGGGTGGTTTGAGTTCTGGTTACAAAAATAGAATGACAGAGATCAAGATGAGAATTTAGAAATATTATCCATTGTTTTCTTATCAGTTATCAAGATGTGTGCTTATTTTAACATGACTTTTGACCTCTTGCTTTAGGTCGCTTAGGAGGATGGTTTTGTATTAGTTGTTTATTTATTTTCTAATATTTGGTTCTTGATAGTTGATTTCATTAGTTACTTTTATTTACTTGTGTAAATGATTTCTTGCGTAGATGATTTGACTCCATTATACTTTTTTTCTTACTTCTGAATTGGGATTGATTCGTCTCCTTTTTATTTGTGAGTTACTCCTTGTTGCAAGCTCTGTTTGAAACAAATCAACTATTGGATCAAGACTGAAGATGAGAACCTAATTATGTAGCTGCAGAGGTTTATTAAGTTGGTTTTTCATTTGTTTCTCAGTCTATGTTTACAACTGTCTTTCTTGATGTTATAGTGCATAGACATGCTCGAAGTTGTTACATTTTGTGGTGCCATAGAACCAGAGCTTTTGCAGGGGAGAAGAAGTGGAAGATTACTGAGATCAAGTCATGATTAGAAGAAGCTGATGTCTTGGTATTTACAATCAACTTGCTTAATGTTTATACCGTTCTGTTCTAGTTTTAAAACTCAATATATGCTTCTGTGTTTTGTTTTGTAGATCTGGAAAATGGATCTTGAGGCTAGAAGTTTGCAGCCAAGTGCTAAAGTTGTATGTCTTTCTAAACTAAAAGACCGTAAATTGATGGAATTCAAACGAGCGTAAATTGATCTGAACCAATTGAAAAAGGAATTCAAACGAGTCTCGTCCCTGGCGAATTGATGGAATCCAGAGTGGCGGAGGTAAGCTTATGTGTCCTGAGGGACCCTTCTTTATGTTTCATCTTCGCATAATTTTTTAGATGGCAGAGGCGTTTTTGCGATTGACATTATTGTTCTCGTTCCAGGTATCTGCTGATCAAAGAGGAAGATTGGCAATGTCAGTGAAGAGGCTTGACCAATCAAAAGACAGAGTCAGGGAGATTAGAAGACTAATGCTGGAGACAGAAGAGGTTGGCATCTCAGTTTTCCAAGATCTGAATCAGCAATGCCAAACCCTTCTTCATGTGCACACCAAGGTACCGCAATTACTCGAATTGCTTTTGGTATCTATCAGTGCCAGTGATTTACTATCATTATGGGAGAAGAGTCGAAGAAAATTTCCACAAATCACATTTTTCAGGTTCTGCAGCTGAATCTTTGAATAAATGTACCCTATAGCTAAAGTTCTTGATAACATCTTCAAAGGATCTTACTTAACCATATGAAAACAGTAAGTCTTTGAGCATAATAATCTCCTCTTCTTTGGTTATAGGTTGTGAAAATTGATGGGTGTGTGATTGGTGACGGAAAAGTTGGGCGGGTAACAAGAACACTGCAAAACGCTTACAAGAAAAGACAGAGGATTCTGGTGTGCCAATACCTACTTACCAAGAACCTTGAAGTACAAAACGAGAGGTAATCAAAGTTGCTAAAATATGCATCTATCTAAGAGTAGTATATCAAACTTTTTGGTTATCAGATGCAAGAGTAGATAAAAGATTTTATATTTCACATGATTCAGGATTTATTCCGTTTATTTTAGGATTTGAACACGAGGGAACTTAACCAAAAGAAGCATTCAACGTTCACATTCAGGTAATGCATCGAATTTAATTTAATTCTCATAATTTCATGACTAGCTTTGGTTTCTATGAAATGCATGCATTGCCGCATCCTACAGTCCAATTTCCCTACAATGTATCATTTTTGCTTTCATCATCTCTTATATGAACAGTCTAAGCTCTTCCATTTTTCAGCACAAAAGAATTTAGTGTTCACTTTCCTAATGTTTAGTATCATTGAACCCATGTTAAACATTATTACTTATCTTAATTTTGATCTGCCCACTCCTTGTTAGTTACTCATTGGATCTGGACATGTGCTCTCACGCCCTCGTTCTTTATCTCTCTTGTGCTAGTTTATTTTTGATGTGAGACATACAGAAAGCCTGAGAGGATTTGGATTCCAGGATCATATGACACCTGAGAGGTTGGCATCTCAGTTTTCCAAGATCTGAATCAGCAATGCCAAACCCTTCTTCATGTGCACACCAAGGTACCGCAATTACTCGAATTGCTTTTGGTATCTATCAGTGCCAGTGATTTACTATCATTATGGGAGAAGAGTCGAAGAAAATTTCCACAACTCACATTTTTCAGGTTCTGCAGCTGAATCTTTGAAAAAATGTACCCTATAGCTAAAGTTCTTGATAACATCTTCAAAGGATCTTACATAACCATATGAAAACAGTAAGTCTTTGAGCATAATAATCTCCCCATCTTTAGTTACAGGTTGTAAAAATCGATGGGCGTGTGATTGGTAACGGAAAAGTTGGACGGGTAACAAGAACACTGCAAAACGCTTACAAGAAAGACAGAGGATTCTGGTGTGCCAATGCCTACTTACCAAGAACCCTGAAGTACAAAACGAGAGGTAATCAAACTTTTTGGTTATCAGATGCAAGAGTAGATAAAAGATTTTATATTTCACATGATGCAAGAGTAGATAAAAGATTTTATATTAAAAATGGTTTTAATATTCTTTTTGGCTTCGTAATTCTTTTTTTTTCTGTTTATATGTGAAGTACTTCTTGTTGCCACCATGGAGTCGAGAGTGCAAGGCTGCAGGCTCTGCCATGTTCTGTTCGTTTCCCGATGGAAAATGGTTTCTTCTTGATCCTTCTTTTTATAAAGCGAATGTAAAGACTCGCTGAAGCTATTTTCTTCTTCTGATTACATTGCGCCTTATCACCTTTTTCTTACACAGTAGATGGTTGACTTCATTATTTCAACCAAATCTAACATTGGTTTTTTTTTCCAAGTATGCACAACATGAACTATGGGAGGATTTTACCTTATATGGTGGTTTCTCTCATTCAAATTTTACTACTTGTTTTCTTTTTTTATATAGTCTAACGCGTGCAGGTTGAATTTTTCTCTGAAGGAATGCATGTTTGCTGCTTGCTGTTTGCTTTAACTTATATTACTAACACGGCCTTAAATTTAGTTTTCCAAATGGATTTAGTCTTTCTCATTAACTAAAATGTCTGTGAGAGTGAAAGCTCTTCTCTGCTCTACTATATATATGAATTAGTTTTCGAAGAGGTTTAGAAGGTCATCTTATTTCATGCCTTTATCAGTATTTGGTCGGTATCAATATTGTGATTTGATAGCATGTGGGCTGTGCTAGTAATTGTTTTGGTATCAGTTGTATTTGCTAACAATCTTGCAGTAATTCTTTCACTGGTTTTTAAGCGATTATCTTTGGATGAGTTTCTTTGTTTGATATCTAAGCTGCTTGAATTGGTTAATTTATGTGTTATATCTTTTGGTTATAGGTGATCGATGATTCTAGATACGTATAGATTTTGATGTTCCAAGATTTCTATTTTCACTTTCCTTCTGTTCTTCAGAGAGTTAATGTTATGTTGGAAGTTCTTTGTGATTAGTTGGCCAAAGTGATTGTATAGATCTGTTGTTTCGGCAATAGCAAAATCCAGTCTCTTGTGATTTGCTAAACATGTCATATTAATCCCGTGTTTAGCAAATCACTATTAAAAAAGGTATTTCTTTTGATTGTTATTGATTGTTGCTGCAAGAAAATCTATTCGTATTTGATATAGTTACATTAACTTTTAGGGTGGTTTGAGTTCTGGTTACAAAAATAGAATGACAGAGAAAGGTTTATCAGACAAAACCTACACGATGGAATCAATTGAAATGGAGGTCACAATAATGAGGCACTACAAGTTGAAGCGGTACTTTTCTACCTTCCTTTCTCTCGTTTAAAATTCTAACATTACACGATCACGAATAGGTAGGCAAGTTTTTGAAAAGTCTAAAGTAGAAAAACCTTATTAAACAAAATGTCACTCATACGTATTTTAGTTCTTTCTTGCTAAGTTAGCCTGTCAATCAAGAACGCAAAAGAGGGAACAGAGAGCTTGGGGGAAAAAAGAACTTCACCACTCACCAGCAAGAAGGTTTCCACCGAGACTGTCACTTGTTCTCCTTTTTCTTCAACAGAGGTAACTGAAATTGGGACATCAATTATGAGTGTGAAAGCATCTCTAATAGGGTCATATTTGTTGTTGAAAAACTTGCATATTCTAACTATCTTCTTCTTTTCAATGGGTCTACATGGATTCTTAGGAAAATTTCAGGTGAGAATTTAGAAAAATTATCCAACGTTTTCTTATCAGTTTTCAAGATGTGTACATGTTTTAACATGACCATGCACAGGTTGAAGAGATTCACAACTTTTGACCTCTTGACGGAAGAAATGCATTTAATCATGCTGAAATTTATCGAGGTTGGTCAATGTGTGGACCCAAAGGAAAAACAAACTGCCTTTGAGATTAGCCAAGTAATATGCTTCATCAGTTTTGCTTCTCAGCATAAGTTATTGCTCCTCGTTTTCTATCTTGTTTCCTGTTTGTACAGTTTTGTGAAGAGATACATAGATCTCATGGTTTCCTTGAATGCCTTGTCCCCAAAAGTTCCATTATACGAAATCACAGAGGGAAATGAGCCATGCTTCTTCTCCACTTATTTTTCATGGGATTCTACTAAAGCTACTGTAAGGTTTTCTGTTCACAGATATCGTTTGGGTTATTAGCTTGAGAAGGGGGTCTACTTTTAAGTATGGTGCTAGTTAATGTGATTCTGTTAGAGAGGGTTTGGGAACGTACTCATTTAATAGCAATTAAATTATGTAGTTTCGTTGTGGTAGGTTCTCTTTATTATAGAGTGTTCATGTTTTCACGCTTGCTTTAGGTCGCTTAGGAGGATTGTTTTGTATTAGTTGTTTCCTGAACTCTGTTTAGTAGTGTAAATCATATGAGAAGGGGTTCTACTTTTAAGTATGGTGCTAGTTAATGTGATTGTGTTAGAGAGGGTTTGGAAACATACTCGTTTAATGCAGTTAAGTTTGTTACACTGTATGCAAATGCCAACTCTGTTTTTTCATAACTTCCACTTCTTTTTCTAATTGAATTTAGCTTTGGTATGTTTACTTGTAACACATATGCAAGGGAATTCCTTCCAGAAGAAGGCAGCATTATTACTTGGTACACACCACTTTCTGGAGGTAAACACTTAGTGAAGATGCTTACTGGGGAAAGTTGGAGATACTGCATGCTTGTATTTTATGTTTCCTGAAACATTTGTTTATAATTTACCCATCTGCTGCAGGATCAGGCTAGCAGTGGGAACCAAGGACCAAGGCAAAGAGCTGCTGCGTTAGCTGCCTTGACTTCTGGATTAAATACTTCTTCCGGGAGAACAAGCTCTCCGGTAAATAGTATAAGCTCCTTTTTGATGTTTCTACTAGATTCTTTCTGACACATATATGAAGAGATATTGACATATCATGAACTTCCGTGAAGAAAAAAGGCTCTGGATCTCATGTTCAATTAGTTTCCCTGTCATGGATTTCTCAAACTTATCCAAACCTTTTACTTGCTATCAACTATGTCAAGGGTTAAAAGGCACATATCTGGCTGGAAAGTTGTTGTGCTTATTGCTTTTCAGTTTAGGCACAGAACGTAAACCTAATTAGATACTGGATTTTGCTAGTTGCTTTTTACTATGACATGTTTAGCAAATCGCAGCTACTAGTGTCCCATGTTCTTGATCTGTTGACTTAGACGCTTTTTGCGTTAACTATAGAGCCGAGACAGGTCAAATGGAAGTAACTTCCAAGACGAGTACTAGTTAATTGTTAATTTACAGGAAAAAGGAAGATTCTTGTATGGAGAATCCATAGGAGGTGCAGTCACATGATTGCTTCACAAAAATGATCCTTTGTTTTGGAATGGCGCCATTCTAGTTTCTCCAATGTGTAAGATAATTACCAATTTTTTGATTACAGAGTCTTAGGAGATTATATTGAAATTCAAATATATTGTTATGTATGAGTATGCAGATATTTGAGAAGGTGAAGCCCCATCCCGTGGTGATTAATCTGTTTACTAGAGTCGAAGAAATCAGACCGAAATGGAAAATAGTTCCTACAAAAGACGTGATTGACGCTGCTTTCAAGGACCTCGTCTAGCGAGAAGAGGTCTGGATAGTGTATATGGAGTATAACAACCTCTCACCATCTAAAATTGTTATAGAAATATTTTGGTGTATTTAAATGCAGGTAAGGGACAACAAGCTGATATATCAAGACAAGCCTAGGCTTGAAACAACACTTGAGATGCTCATGACAAGCAAGAACCTCGAAGATACTCTCCACGAGTTTCATTACTTATATATTATTTTTGATCCCATGATATGAGTTTCCTGACAAAATTACTTGACTAAGACAACATGTGATCGGATTGTGCAGAAAACAATACCTTTCTTTGTATTACACGGAGAAGCAGATACAGTGACGGATCCAGAGATAAGCAAAGCCCAGTACGAGAAAGCTAGCACGTTTTGGTCTCTTTCTTTTAATGGTCCTCAGGTTTCGTCTCTTTTTTTTATACCTATATTACGTTCTTGATTTAGGTTATAGATCTGCTTTAATGAGAAACACTTGTACTCCGATCATGTGTCTTTCTTCTGTCAATGCAGTGGTTTGGAGTGTTTGGTGTCTGATTTGGCTGCTTGAGCGTTGATTGAAGATTGCAACATTCTCTTGTGGCTATTTGTGGTTTCAGGGGTTTTACTCGTTTCCTATTTTTGTATACCTACTTCACTTTAGTTTTGTAAAGTGTTTATAATTTACCCTTCTGCTGTAGGATCAGTCTAGCAGTGGTAACCAAGGACCAAGGCAAAGGGCTGCTGCTTTTGCTGCCTTGACTTCTCCATTTAATTTTTCTTCTGGGAAAACAAGCTCTCCGGTAAACAGTATAAGCTCATTTTTTTTTGTTTCTACTAGATTCTTTCTAATAGAAATACGAAGATATTGATATATCATGTGAACTTCGATGAAGGCTATGGATCTCATGTTCAATGAGGTTCTCTGTCATGGAAATAATATATTAGTGGTTAAGGCACATATATGGCTGAAAACTGGTTGTGCTTACTGCTTTTCATCTTAGGCACAAAACGTAAATCTTAATTTTCATTCTCTTGTTTCAGTTGATGCCTGAAGAGATAGGATTGGTGGTTAACGTTGACTATTTCAGAATAGCCGAGAGAGAAGCAAAGTACAGATCAAAGAGTGCACAAAGAAAAGAGGTCCAATGTTCCTCTCTCCCTGTACTTTTTATTTATACAGTTGTTTGATGCTACAATAACTTTTAGGGTGGTTTGAGTTCTGGTTACAAAAATAGAATGACAGAGAAAGGTTCATCAGACGGAATCAGTTGCACTTATTCAAGTATGAGAAAAATTTTAGGTGAGAATTTAGACAAATTATCCATTGTTTTCTTATCAGTTATCATGACTTTTGACCTCTTGCTTTAGGTCGCTTAGGAGGATGGTTTTGTATTAGTTGTTTATTTATTTTCTAATATTTGGTTCGTGATAGTTGATTTCATTAGTTACAAAAATAGAATGACAGAGATCAAGATGAGAATTTAGAAAAATTATCCATTGTTTTCTTATCAGTTATCAAGATGTGTGCATATTTTAACATGACTTTTGACCTCTTGCTTTAGGTCGCTTAGGAGGATGGTTTTGTATTAGTTGTTTATTTATTTTCTAATATTTGGTTCTTGATAGTTGATTTCATTAGTTACTTTTATTTACTTGTGTAAATGATTTCTTACGTAGATGATTTGACTCCATTATACTTTTTTTCTTACTTCTGAATTGGGATTGATTCGTCTCCTTTTTATTTGTGAGTTACTCCTTGTTGCAAGCTCTGTTTGAAACAAATCAACTATTGGATCAAGACTGAAGATGAGAACCTAACTATGTAGCTGCAGAGGTTTATGAAGTTGGTTTATCATTTGTTTCTCAGTCTATGTTTACAACTGTCTTTCTTGATGTTATAGTGCATAGACATGCTCCAAGTTGTTACATTTTGTGGTGCCATAGAACCAGAGCTTTTGCAGGGGAGAAGAAGTGGAAGATTACTGAGATCAAGTCATGATTAGAAGAAGCTGATGTCTTGGTATTTACAATCAACTTGCTTAATCTTTATACCGTTCTGTTCTAGTTTTAAAACTCAATATATGCTTCTGTGTTTTGTTTTGTAGATCTGGAAAATGGATCTTGAGGCTAGAAGTTTGCAGTCAAGTGCTAAAGCTGTATGTCTTTCTAAACTAAAAGACCGTAAATTGATGGAATTCAAACGAGCGTAAATTGATCTGAACCAATTGAAAAAGGAATTCAAACGAGTCTCGTCCCTGGCGAATTGATGGAATCCAGAGTGGCGGAGGTAAGCTTATGTGTCCTGAGGGACCCTTCTTTATTTTTCATCTTCGCATAATTTTTTAGATGGCAGAGGCGTTTTTGCGATTGACATTATTGTTCTCGTTCCAGGTATCTGCTGATCAAAGAGGAAGATTGGCAATGTCAGTGAAGAGGCTTGACCAATCAAAAGACAGAGTCAGGGAGATTAGAAGACTAATGCTGGAGACAGAAGAGGTTGGCATCTCAGTTTTCCAAGATCTGAATCAGCAATGCCAAACCCTTCTTCATGTGCACACCAAGGTACCGCAATTACTCGAATTGCTTTTGGTATCTATCAGTGCCAGTGATTTACTATCATTATGGGAGAAGAGTCGAAGAAAATTTCCACAAATCACATTTTTCAGGTTCTGCAGCTGAATCTTTGAATAAATGTACCCTATAGCTAAAGTTCTTGATAACATCTTCAAAGGATCTTACTTAACCATATGAAAACAGTAAGTCTTTGAGCATAATAATCTCCTCTTCTTTGGTTATAGGTTGTGAAAATTGATGGGTGTGTGATTGGTGACGGAAAAGTTGGGCGGGTAACAAGAACACTGCAAAACGCTTACAAGAAAAGACAGAGGATTCTGGTGTGCCAATACCTACTTACCAAGAACCTTGAAGTACAAAACGAGAGGTAATCAAAGTTGCTAAAATATGCATCTATCTAAGAGTAGTATATCAAACTTTTTGGTTATCAGATGCAAGAGTAGATAAAAGATTTTATATTTCACATGATTCAGGATTTATTCCGTTTATTTTAGGATTTGAACACGAGGGAACTTAACCAAAAGAAGCATTCAACGTTCACATTCAGGTAATGCATCGAATTTAATTTAATTCTCATAATTTCATGACTAGCTTTGGTTTCTATGAAATGCATGCATTGCCGCATCCTACAGTCCAATTTCCCTACAATGTATCATTTTTGCTTTCATCATCTCTTATATGAACAGTCTAAGCTCTTCCATTTTTCAGCACAAAAGAATTTAGTGTTCACTTTCCTAATGTTTAGTATCATTGAACCCATGTTAAACATTATTACTTATCTTAATTTTGATCTGCCCACTCCTTGTTAGTTACTCATTGGATCTGGACATGTGCTCTCACGCCCTCGTTCTTTATCTCTCTTGTGCTAGTTTATTTTTGATGTGAGACATACAGAAAGCCTGAGAGGATTTGGATTCCAGGATCATATGACACCTGAGAGGTTGGCATCTCAGTTTTCCAAGATCTGAATCAGCAATGCCAAACCCTTCTTCATGTGCACACCAAGGTACCGCAATTACTCGAATATCTAACAATTACAAAATCAGTGAATTGGAGTTTTGGTTTGTGTCTTGTTTTGGGTTTCATATCACTCACTTCACTTGGTCTCTTGGATCAGGATCGAAGAAATATCGGTATTGTAAGGTAAGAAGTCTCAGATTGCTTGATTTTTAAGCTTCAAAGTTAATATTATCAAACATTCTTTGTTGTCTCTTTTTTTTTTAAAAAAAGATAGTGTGTTGTTCTGTCTGAGCTCTGAACAGGCTTTTCGGTTTGCCAAGTGAACTGATGAGTAAAGGAAAGCATTTCATATTGATAAGAAATCCTCTTAAAATACTGGTCAGATTTTCTCATCAAACACTGGTTCTCAACTTTAGCCAACGTTTCAACTAATGCTCTTCTCTGTTTGTCGAATTAGGCTTGGGGGAATTAGTGTCGATATACAGTGATCTCTGTCGGATGGGAACACCAGCAGCAGTCATCAATGCGGATGAGCTTCAGGTTTTGTTTCTGTAATACGTAAATTCTTTTTCTATTACATGTTATGCCATCCATATATACATGCAGGCTACACTAGACGGTCTTTGTGATGATTTGAAACTTGTGACCCTTTTTTCATTCGCCAAGTAAGTCGAGCTTTTCTATAGAGTTTTCCTCCATTTGGTTATTCAATCTTTGGATTAATAGCTGTTGAAACTTATTACTACTGGATATTTATTTGGTTGCAACATGAGCTGAAATTCTTTTGAAAACAGGAAGGAGTACTTTGACACGAGTCACTTGGTTAACACATTCAAATAAGTTCCTTGAACCTTTTTTACTCAATTAGTTTGTGTTCCTTTCACCTTTATCACGTCTCTGATGTTCATTATTGTTTCTTTTAACAGGTTTTATTTTTTCATCGCTCTAAAAATGGTTCAGTTGAGGACTTAAACATTCTGGAGATGGATGCGGTAGACAAGCTAAATACTGACCAGTGTTCTCCATAATCAGGTAACTAATATATGATATTATGTTAAGATTTTACAGGACACGATAAGCAGTTTCCCTTTTGTGGTAATGCTTTTTCTGCAAGTTCTTGTGGGTTTTAACACAGAATAATTTTTCGTTCCTACTTGGTTGACTCGAGCGACAACTTCCTTATCTCTTTCTTCTGATGGTCTTCCGGTCTCGTCTGTTTTTTGCTGATAACTGTTTAGACTTTAGAGTAACTTTTACTTGATTTAGATTTTAGATAGTTTCTCAGTGTGAAAAATACTGTCAAGAAGGTACTATATTATATTTTTTCTTCTTCTTATTACATTGCATCTTATCACAATTTTCTTACATAGTAGATGGTTGACTTCATTATTTCAACCAAATATAATTTCTCCTCATGTCCTGTTGCGTCTTTTTCATATTTTTTTCATCAGTCACTTCACTTTGATTCTCTTTTTTCAGTTGATGGCTGAAGAGATTGGATTGGTGGTTCGTTTATTGTTTCAGCAAAGCTGAGATAGAAACAAAGTAAAGATCATAGAGTACCCTGTGCCAAGCCAAATTTGTTCCAACGTTTCTCTCTCCCTTTACTTTGTTTTTTTTACACTAACATAAATTACAGTTATCTACGTACAAATATTTTGACACCATTTTTGTTTCACAGAAGGTTGGTGTTACTACATCAAAACGGGCGTGTCAGCAACATGTGATTTCTTTGTCCTATTTATCTTGATAACTCAGATGTTGAATCTAAACCGTTATTCTTTTGTTGTAGAAAGAAAGAAGCTAGTGCGTAATAGTGTTAATGATCTTGCTTCAAAATAAGTATTTTTATGCGCAAGCACCTTGCCGGATTTTGCTCTGCATATTCACCATCTCTCTAGTGAAACTGGAGATGTATCAATGGGGGATAAAGTGACCTGCTAGGTAAAAAATTTACCTTATATAGTGGTTTCTCTCTTTTGGATTTTACTTGTATAACTTTTTTTTATCTTGTCTAATGTGTGAAGGTTAACTATGAGAGACGTAAACTCATCGCTAACAATCAGACATGCACACATATGTTGAATATTTCCCTGAAGGTATGTATATTTTCTGTTTGCTTTAATTTATACTTCGAAACCTTAAAATTATGTCTTTCTCATGAATATAAAATGGGCTTAGGTATCATATTTAGCAGAACGGATCAAATTGATTTTTCCTGAAAATTTACAATTTGATTTTTCCCATGGCAAGCTGGTTGATCCTGAATATTAGAGAAATATCGATTAGGACGATCTGGATGTTTTTTTCAAGAATGAAGGGTCTAAAAGAAGGGCTTGCTGAATCCAAACGCTAAGAGAATCATAAGGGGAAGTAGACTTTGACATGAGTCACGTGGTTCAAATAAGTTCCTTGAACCCTTTTTATTGAATTAGTTTGTGTTCCTTTCATCTTTATCACGGTCTCTGATGTTCATTATTGTTTTTTTTTTAACAAGTGTTCTTTATACCTGATTGATCGATACTTCTTTATGCTGTGTCTTGGAGTTGGCCGAATCAATATTCTTTATACCTGATTGATCTCTCTTGTATGTTCTTGTGTTCCGTTCCTTTGTGTTCCGTTCATGCTTATTTCGCTTTGCCATTATCTAATTGGTGATCTCTGGTTAAATCTTTGTAGGATCTGGTTAAATCTTTGCCATTTGATTTCACTCGGCTATTTATTTTATTCGTCGTTCTTTTCTAAAAGTTATGTGCTCTTTCTTAATTTTCATTCTCTTATTTCAGTTGATAGCTGAAGAGATAGGATTGGTGGTTAAAGTTGACTGTTTCAGAAAAGCCGAAAGAGAAGCAAAGTAAAGATCAAAGAGTGCACAGAGAAATGAGGTCCCATATTTCGCTCTCCCTGTACTTTTTATTTTTACGGTTGATTGATGCTACACTGACATGAGACGATGTTCTAAGTTTGAAATTACAGTATCTATTTACAAATTTGCTGATATCAAATTTTTCTGGCAGCAAGTTGGTACATTAAAACTGCAGTTCCACAACAGCCAACAGATGATCCTTTTGAATGTATGTTGTTACAGGTTTGTCTTTTCTTTTTTTGATTGGATAACTTAGATGTTGCATCTAAATTCATATTCTTTTGTTGAAGAAAGAAAGAAGCTATTGCGTATAGTGTTAAGGATCTTGCTTCCAACAAATCTTTTGCTCTGCATATTAGCCATCTCTCTAGTGAAATTAGAAAGTTTTTTTTTGTTTGGTTGTGCTTTTGGTCTTAGCACTGAAAAAACACGTGAATAGATTTTTTGCATGTTCTTGGTAAATGTAAGTCAGGATGTATATATATGAATTTGTTTTCGAAGAGGTTTAAAAGGTCATCTTATTTCATGCCTTTATCAATATTTGGTCGGTATCAATATTGTGATTTGATAGCATGTAGGGTGTGCTAGTAATTGTTTCGATATCAGTTACATTTGCTATAACAATCTTGCAGTAATTCTTTCACTGGTTTTTAAGCTATTATCTTTGGATGTGTTTCTTTGTTTGATATCTAAGCTGCTTGAATTAGTTAATTTATGTGTTTTATCTCTTGGTTATAGGTTGTCGATGATCCTAGATACGTATAGATTTTGATGTTCCAAGATTTGGATTTTCACGTTCCTTCTGTTCTTCAGAGAGTTAATGTTATGTTGGAAGTTCTTTGTGATTAGTTGGGCAAAGTGATTGTATATATCAGTTGTTTCGGCTCTTGATTATGTGGGTTCACTTCTTTGTGTTAGGTTCTCTTTATTATAGAGTGTTCATGTTTTCAAGCTTGCTTTAGGTCGCTTAGGAGGATGGTTTAGTATTAGTCTGAAACTTATTCATTCGCCAGGTAAGTGTAGCATTTCTGTAGAGTTTTCCTCCCTTTGGATATTCAATACTTGGTTTTTAATAGCTGTTGAAACTTATTACTACTGAATATTTATTTGGTTCAACATGAGCTGAAATTCATTTGACAACAAGAAGGAGTATTTTGTTCACGCATTCAAATAAGTTCCTTGAACCCTTTTTATTGAATTAGTTTGTGTTCCTTTCACCTTTATCACGGTCTCTGATGTTCATTATTGTTTTTTTTTTTAACAGGTGTTCTTTATACCTGATTGATCGATACTTCTTTATGTTGTGTCTTGGAGTTGGCCGAATCAATATTCTTTATACCTGATTGATCTCTCTTGTATGTTCTTGTGTTTCGTTCATTTGTGTTCCGTTCATGCTTATTTCGCTTGGCCATTATATAATTGGTGATCTCTGGTTAAATCTTTGTAGGATCTGGTTAAATCTTTGCCATTTGATTTGACTCGGCTATTTATTTTATTCATCGTTCTTTTCTAAAAGTTATGTGCTCTTTCTTAATTTTCATTCTCTTATTTCAGTTGATAGATGAAGAGATAGGATTGGTGGTTAAAGTTGACTGTTTCAGAAAAGCCGAAAGAGAAGCAAAGTAAGGATCAAAGAGTGCACAAAGAAATGAGGTCCCATATTTAGCTCTCCCTGTACTTTTTATTTTTACGGTTGATTGATGCTACACTGACATGAGACGATGTTCTAAGGTTGAAATTACAGTATCTATTTACAAATTTGCTTATATCAAATTTTTCTGGCAGCAAGGTGGTGTTAGTACATTAACATTGCACAAAACTGCGGTTCAGCAACAGCCAACAGATGATCCTTTTGAATGTATGTGGTTACCTGTTTTTCGTTTTTTGATTGGATAAGTTAGATGTTGCATCTAATTTCTTGTTCTTTTGTAGTTGAAAGAAAGAAGCTAGTGCATATAGTGTTAAGGATCTTGCTTCACAGAGATCTTTTGCTCTGCATATTGGCCATCTCTCTAGTGAACTGGAAAGTTTTATTTGTTTGGTTGTGCTATTGGTCTTAGTACTGTACAAAAGAGACGTGCATAGGTTTTTCTGCATGTTCTTGGTAAATGCAAGTCAGGGTCTATATGTATGAATTAGTTTTCGAAGAGGTTTAAAAAGGTCATCTTATTTCATGCCTTTATCAATATATGGTCGGAATCAATCTTGTGATTTGATAGCATGTAGGGTGTGCTAGTAATAGTTTTGGTGTCATGTTACAGTTTCTAACAATCTTGCAGTAATTCTTTTACTAGTTTTTATGTGTTACATCTCTTGGTTATAGGTTGTCGATGATTCTGGATACATATAGATTTTGATGTTCCAAGATAAGAATTTTCAGGTTCCTTTTCTTGAGAGAGATAATGTTAAGTTGAAAGTTTTTTGTGATTAGTTGGCCAAAGTGATTGTATAGATCAGTTTTTTTTCGGCTCTTGATTATGTGGGTTCACTTCTTTGTGTTAGGTTCTCTTTATTATAGAGCGTTCATGTTTTCGCTCTTGCTTTAGGTCGCTTAGGAGGATGGGTTTGTGTTAGTTGGTTCCTTAACTCTCTTTGGTTGTTTATGTCCTCGTAAAGGTGCTCCTAGATTTTAATTCTGTGTTACTTAATTACTAGCATAACTTCAATTTTTTTTTTCAGGAGTTGGAATCATTGTGGTTTTCTGAATATATTCTCCTCTAAGACTAAGTGGACTAGTTGAGTTCTTCGGTTGGCTAAATGCAGATATGCATGCAGTTTACTGAAATAGGCTATGAAGCAGATATCCATTTCACTTACAATGTAGAGGAATCATCAAAAGACTCTGAAGTTGTATGTATTATGTCGATCGATGCTATAATGAAAAACCAACTTTTACTGTTTCGGTAGAATGTGCTGCCAAAACTTGTGAATTTTCAGGCTGAAAAGGGGAGCATTTTGATGCATATCACATTGTAAAATTGCAGTTTTACATTTTTTTACTGATGCGTGCGAGACTTTTTTGTGTGCAGGATATCTAACAATTACAAAATCAGAGAATTGGAGTTTTGGCTTGTGTCTTGTTGTGGGTTTCAGATCACTCACTTCACTTGGTCCCTTGGATCAGGATCAAAATAATACCGGTATTGTAAGGTAAAAAGTCTATGTTTGTTTGGTTTGAAGCAAAGTTCATAATAAGGCAAAGTTCATAATATCAAACTTTCTTTTTTGTCTCTTTTCTTTTTTTATAACAATGATATTGTTTTGTTCTGTTTTCCCTCTGAATAGCAATATCTCAAAATAGCGGCTTTTCGGTTTGCCAAGTGAACTGATGAGTAAAGGAAAGCATTTCATATTGATACGAAATCCTCTTCACATACTGGTTAGGCTTTCTCATCAAACACCGGTTCTAAGCTTTAGCCAATGTTTCATCTAATGTTCTTCTCTGTTTATCCTTTTTGCAGCCTTCCTTTGCGAAGGTACACCTTCCATCGTTTCTCGAATTAGGCCTAGGGGAACTAGTTTTGATATGTAGTAATCTCTGTGAGATGGGAACACCACCAGCACTCATCGATGCGGATCAGCTTCAGCTAGATCCCGAGGTTTTGTTTCCGTAATATGTAAAAGTTTCACAAAGATGTATTTTTCTCCTACATGTTATGCCATCCATATATACATGCAGACTAAACTACGCAGTCTTTGTGATGATTTGGAGATTCCATTTCAAGCCTCTATGCTTTAGTAAGGTTTTCTCCTATGATAATCTTAAGGTTTGATAGATATCAAAACATTAATTTTCACTATGGTTTGCTGTTTTTGCTTTAAGATGGGAAGTTGGTACTATACCAGATGGAATATGGGCACCATGGTGGTACAAGAGTGTGCACGAATCAACAGGTTTCTCATCTCCAAAGAAGTATCCTCGAGTAAGGCCCTTGTTTGTTGTGGTTCAATGATTCTAAATTCAATCTAAGATATGTTTGGTATTAATTTTTTCCTTCAGAGATTCCCATTGTCACATTATGATTTGCTGGAGCAAAGTCTAGTTCAACATTTCAGGAGCCACGTGAAGCAAATTCTCAGGGATTCTCACGTGTTCTCCTTTTCCTTCAATAGAGGTGATTGAAATTGGGACATCAATTATGAGGGTCAAAGAATCTCTAATAGGGTTTATTTGGTTTTGATAAACTTGCATATTCTAACTTTTTCTTCTTCTTTTCAATGTATCTACTCGGTTGTACAAGACAGTGACTCGGTATGTGAAGGACTTCGGATTTACAAGGGAAAGATATTCAAGCTTGAGGAACATCTAGATCGGTCTAAACAGTCAAATCTAGAAACGAAAAAGCATATAACAGAGTTTTCTAAGCAATGTTGTTTTATATGTTGAAATATTGGTTAAGGCTGTTTGATTCAGCAAAATCTCTGGCTTTCAAAATGTTCCAGCGTATAAAGAGGTACGCATCTGGTGACCAATCGCTAAGTTTTGTTCTGTTAATACTACGCTACCGCAACAGCTTTCTTGTGCCAAAAATTACAGGTTAAAGAAGCAATCTTCAGATCTCTCATAACCAATGGTATGTTTGACAATACTCATATCAGGTTGTCTCTGACTCGAGGTGAAAAGGTATTTCAAGTTGCTTTGAAACCTAGTTTAGAAACTTATGTTTTCATTTCGACCATTTAGTCTAAAGAAAACTGTGAAACTTGTTTGTTTAAGGTAACTTCTGGAATGAACCCTGCATGTAATCGATATGGATGTACTCTTACGAGTAACCTTTCAGCTTTATCTTAACAACCAATTAATTTTGGCAATCTGATTACTTTGGATTTTGATTTACATGAAAATTTTGAGTTCTTTCTTTCAAATAATGCAGTGCTTGCCCAATGGAAGCCTCTGGTCTATGACAATGACAGTGGAATTGTGCTGGTGACTGCAACCACGCGCCGAAACTCGCCATTATGCTTGACGGAGGATGGACTCAAGGAGGAGGAATTGGGAACGCTTGTGGTGGAGCGAATCCTTAAGAATTTCAAACCTAACATGTTCGTATAAGTTACTTACATGTAAATAATTTCTGCGTTTTCGTATTGCAGGTTGTTGTTACATGTGAAATAACCTCGAAGTTTTTCATTGATGATGATTTTGCTGATGGATAGAATTATTACTGCCAAGGGAGTGATACTTGATAAGGTTCTCTATATTTACTTAATGTACACTCTGGATTTGGCTCATCTTTGTTTCTCGAGTAACCTTAACAAGGGTCTTCTTAGTTCTTAGTTCAGTTTTGTAGGGTTACATGAGGCCGTTTTGTCACTTTGCTTGAGCAAATTTCTTTGTAAAATTTGTGACTTCATGATTTTTTTTCTGTTCTTCCCTTGATGTCACTACTTGTGTAGATAGTGTGGTAAGGATATTTTTTGCTGATTTCTATTAACTAACTGATATGGTTTCAGGTTTGAGTTTGGACATGTTACTATTTTTGAGCCTTTAAGCGTGTGGAATATCTTCGGGAAAAGATCAACAACAAAACAATCTCTTTATAGACACTAATTTGTGTCAAAGAACACTTATCATGCAATTAGTTATCTGATCAAATCTGGTTATGTTTATTATTTGTTTACTTGGGCTAAGAAGGATTGAACCATTGTACATGGATTACAGACAGACAATTGTGCAGGGTCTCCAGTCTCATTTAGGTAGACAATTCAAAAGCAGCGTGGAACTGTTTGCTATGGTGATGTACCTTCACTCATCTTATGTGTTATCAGCATACTATGGTTTGACTTTCCTTTCTCTTCGTGTGCTTCTATTTTTTTTTTATATTGGATTTTTTATTTTGACATCGCTAAGGTAAAACTAGTTGATTTCTTTCTAGGTGAGGAATACCTGGTAACTTATTCTAGCCAAGAGCTACGCAACCCGCGGGATGAAAGTATGAGTGCATCTTTGTTTTTATTCTTAATTTCCAATTTTTATTTGTATTTCATGTAGAGATATAGGTCTTTGATGTCTGTACTGGGAGGATGATTTTTTAGTTACTGGTGTTGCTGGTGGCTCATAAAGGAAGTATCCTCTATTTTGCTATTATATCCATTTGTTGATATCTTGGAAACTTTTTCTATATATGGACTGGTGTAAAAGATGGGAAATACTTTGTCAAGCTCAGCAAAGACACTATGTATGTCTCTGGTATTGAGACTTTCCTCTTAATAGACAAGAAATCAATGAAGGTAGTAGATAATGTTGTCGAAAGCATGGGCACTGAAGGAAATACATGAGAAATGGACAGCTTCCACCAAGTTGATGGGTGAAGGTTCGTTGTAAACTTGCTCCTATTTGGTCATTAGCCTTTGTTTTTGGGAAGTCTACATATATTGTTTTCTTTTGGCTTCACTTGAAACTACATAGAAGATTTTAGGGATATTCCATATTCGCAATTTTTTTTCAAAATGGAGAATGTCTTGTATCATTTAGTTTTCAGTGTAAAGTTGGCTGTTATGTCCCAGATGCAGGTTTAGTGGCGGAAATCAAAGATATCAGCCAGACAAAGCATAAGGAGGACCCGCTTCATTCCATTTCACTAAGCCCTCTTTCACCTCAGATGTGGAGTTCAGTTATTGTTCTGTTTTTTCATATCTTGAAATATACCAGAAATGCATGTTAAAACATTGCTGATGGGTGAAGGTTTGTTTGTAAAATAGCTTCATTAACTCTTGGTCATTAGCCTTTGTGTTCTGGGAATCTACATACTCTTAAGCTTGCATATTATTTTTGCATTTGCAGAGCATCAATATTCTTACTGCAATGATTCATGAGGAGTAGGCGTTGCTGAGTTGGAAGTACACACTTGGATTAATCCTGTCAGTTGTCAAAACCTCATCATGGAGTTTCCTCAGCTTGATAGAAAAGCTAATTCCCATCACTCAAATTTCAAATCTATCAAAAGATAGTAGGGCATCTTTTAAATATTTCTTGCAATAGTCAAACTATGTTTTTTCTTGCAATAGTCTGACTATGTCTTTGTCATCAGGCTTCTACCTGATTGCAATCATCACACTAGGTAGCTACTTTAATCAATTTATGGTTTGATTTGAACTGATTTTCAGATTTCAATTCAAGGTGAGATTCTGCGTTTTCTTATTGCAGGTTGTTTACATGTGAAATAACCTTGAAATTTTGTATGGATGATGATTTTGCAATGGGATAGAATTCGTCAAGGGAGCGATATTTGATAAGGTTCTCTATGAATTTGGCTCATCTTTGTTTTTGGAGTAACATTAACATGTGTCTTAGGTACATTGTGTCTTCTTAGTACTTAATTCAGTTTTGTCAGTGCACTTGAACAAATCTCTTGATTTCAGTACTTGTTTAGATAGTGTGGTGAGGACTTTTTCCTCAATATATTATTCCCATAAAAGTTCTACTTCGATCTGATTTATATTAACTAACTGATATGGTTTCATACTTGAGTTGGACATGTTACTAGGTTTTTCTGGAAGCGTGTGGAATATCTTCTGGAAAAGATCAACAGCAACAACACAGTCTGTAGAGAGACCAATTTGCGTCAAAGACACACTTTTCAGGCAAGTATTCTTTTACCTGGGCTAATAACCTTATATTTGACTACTCCATAGATTTTCTGAAGAAGAATTCTCATATCGTTGTAATGGTGTGATAGTAACAAGCTTGAAGCAGAATCAAGAAAAATTGGCTAGCTGACGCTCAAGAAAGTATGGTTTGAAGTCTATGCTTGCTAAGAATAATCACAAATCACTAGATCATCGTAATTTTTATTTCAAGCTGCAGGACAATAAATTCATTTTTTTAAGATTTCCAACCTAGTTTAGGTTTGTTTTAAAACACCATTTATTTCTTTTGGCTTCACTTGAAACTACATTGATGATTTTAGGATATTCCATATTAGCAATTTCTTTATCTAAATGGAGAGACTGTAATATGATTGTTTGGGGAAACAAAGAGAATGTCTTGTATTATTTAAGTGATTGTTTGCATCAAGTAAGTTGGTTGTTATGTCCCAAATGCAGGTTTAGTGGCAGAAATCGACGATATGAGTAAGACAAAGGATCAGGAAGACCTGTTTCATGCCATTTCACTTGGAACTAACCCCTCTTTCACACCAGATGTGGAGTTCAGTTACTATGCATGGTACACCAGATATGCATAGTAACCCCTCACAGTGTTGGTCTTTCTTTGTCTTTCATATCTTGAAATATACAATGAGGTATGCGAATAAGTTTATCCATAATATAATACAGCATTTACTAACACTGTGAATAAACCCTCAAGTTAAGGCTTTTAGCCTCAGATATATTTTCTTATTCTCCTCACTTTGAAGAATATCTTACGTTGTTTTTGTAACTCATCACGTCTCAATTTCTTTTCTCAAGGAGTTGGAAGAATTATGGGAGAGGAGGACTCTAAGAAATTGATTTCTTTTCACCAATCATATTTTTTTTTTTTTAGGTGCTTACAATTTACCCTTCTTCGACAGGATCAGTTTAGCAGTGGGAACCAAGGTAAAGGGCTTCTGCTTAAGCTGCCTTGACTTCTGCATTTAATTCTTCTTCCGGTAACTAGCTCATTTTTTGCTATTTCTAATAGATTCATTCTGACACATATATGAAGATATGGATATATATCTCATTGTCATTGAGGTTCATGTCATATATTTCTCAAACTTATCAAAAACTTTGACTGGAAACTGGTTTCACTCTTATTGGCTTTACAGGTTTTCTATTTTAGGATTTGGTTCCTTATTTGCATCGCTGGATTTCTTACGTGAGCAAAATCTATATCTAGTAAAAAAACATTTTTTTGTGTTGGTTAACAAAAAAAAGTAACCAATTCTGTTTTGTTGTCAGGGTCCTTACTACTGTGGAGTTGGAGCTGACAAGATTTGGGGGCGTGACATTGTAGATGCTCATTACAAAGCTTGTTTACATGCTTTAATTAACATTAGTGGTACTAATGGTGAAGTTATGCCTGGACAGGTGTCCAGGCCCGTTTTCAATGGAGCTTTGATAATAGATTCTGTTATTTGTATGTTTTACCAGTTGCCAATCCTCTGATGTTATTGTAAACATTTGTGGAGTGAGAGTTCCAAGTTGGCCCAAGCGTAGGAATCAATGCAGGTGATCATGTTGGGTGTGCTAGTTACCTTCTTGAGGTAATCAAAAGTCTTTTTTGTAGAGAGGTGTGAGTAAGTTACATGTTCGTGTGAAGTAGAGGTATGTTTCAGGCTTGGTTTTCTTTAAGATTGATGATTTTGTCTTCTTCCAATCTTTAAATGTTAAATTTATTCTTCAGTGCATTGATCTAGTAGTGATCTAGTGTATCTTGATGATCAATGCCTTTAATTTCTGAGAAGTCTTTTCCGTTTTGGGTCCGAATGTCACCTGAACATTGAGATGAATCTTTATGATGTTTTGATTATAAATTCTTTCTTATTGTTTCAATATGTAGGTGATTAGAAAATGATCGAAAGCAAGACAACGCATGTCCCAGTTCAGGACTCTAAGTTAACTCGTCTTCTGCAATCTTCATTGACTGGGCATGGGCATGGGCATGGATCAGTACGTCTCTTCTGTATTTGGTGAATTAGCTGGTAGAGTTCTTGAGGCTACAGAGGGTGGTAGAACTCTTTCGACTTATATACATTAGAGTTTGCATCGAGTAAAGTTTGCTGTTATGTCCCAAATGCAGGTTAAGTGGCGGAAATCAAAGATATCGGTGACAGAAAGCATAAGGAAGACCCACTTCATGCCATTTCAATTGGAACTAAGCCGTCAACTTAAGGATTTTAGCCTCAGATATAGTTTCCTATTCTCTTCACTTTCAAGAATATTAATAACATGTGTTATAAGTGATCATGTCTTATGTTTTAAGCGAGTGTGATTATATGTTCATCTGACTGCAAGTTATCTTACTTTTGTTCTTGTATCAGGTGATAAATGACTTACTGGATACAAAATTTACGTATCAGAGAGGAATTCTAGGTTTCTTCCACCTTGTTATCTTTCTCTCCCACATGAATACAAATGTATATCAAACAAGAGGATTCACTTGTTTGTCTGATTTCATTATTTTCCTCTGACAATGATGAGGATGATGACGACTTCTTCATGTTGCATCCATCCTGTTTTTTTTTTTTTTTTATACTATCTTCTATATTATTCTAGGGCACCTAAGTTGAGGGTATTAAGCACGAAGTTGTTTTATCTCCAGGCCATGCACTAATTTTCATTGCAGCTAGGAACGGTAATTAGAAGATTTACTTCTGAAACATGTTTTCAAATATATCTGTTTGACTTTTCTTACTACTTTTTTTTTGTGGTAGAACATCATCATGTTCGTTAAAATAATATCAACTTGTTGAGGAGAAGAAGTCACACAATATTTGACGTGCTCTGGATCTCTCAAACTTATCAAAACCTTTGACGTGCCATCAAATAATATATTGAGGGTTAAGGCACATATATGGTTAGAAACTGGCTGTGCTTACTGCTTTTGCTAGTTGCTTTAATTTTTACTATGACACAGCTACTAGTGTCCCATGTTCTTGATCTGTTCACTTAGACGTTTTTTTCTTCAACTACAGAGCCTAGACAGATCAAATGGAAATCAAGGGAGTCCAAGATAAAGAGCTGAAGCTTTAGCCGCCTTATCATTACCATTTTTCAGTTTCATTTCTACAAAATCATAAGGGGAAGTGAACTTTTCCCACCTTTTTCACTCTTTTTGGCTTTACAGGTCTCTAATCCTTGATTTGGTTTCTTACATGCATCGCTGGATTTTTACATGCGCAAAATATCTAGTAAAAGATATTTATTACTGTTACATGTTTTTGTGAAGTAGAGGTATGTTTTCAGGCTTGGTTGTTTTTAAGATTGATGATTTTGTTTGCCCCCTAATCTTTAGATTTTTCTTGTTTTTTTTTCCGATCCATTTGAATTATGATTACTTTTTCTTATAATAGTTAGGGTACTCCAACAAAATAAGGTTGAGTTTCTTTTATTTCAAAGATTGGACGTAGTATTTAAAGCCTATTTTTGGTGTTGAAGCAATGCATGAGTTACATGGTTAAAGTTCTTCCTCACCGTCTTGCCTCTCAGATATGGATGACAGTAGCCAAAGCAATGTGCAGTAAATGAAAATATGATGCAAGCTCTGTTGCTTCTGTGATAGAAGTATCACTCTAATCCTAAGTAACTCTTAACATTGATTGCTTTGAGGTAATATATGGCTTTGGGATAAATCATGTCATGTCTTGGGTTCTACGTTTTGCTAAGAGTATGTCTCAAACTAATTAAAATATTCATGGCTACAAGTTGGACATGTCTCACATCTTTTCCGTAAACATGTTCAATCAGTTTGACAGATGGATGAATGTGACGGAGTGGATGCCTCCTCAAACAAAGCCCTATGTGTATGTGTCTGAGGTATGTGTAATTTTCATGACATTAGCAACATCAGTGTTTCTAATTGAGATGTACGGATGTACCTTGAAAACTTATCAGGTAATAACTTCTAATTTGTATGTGTAATCATTTATTTATTTTGGCTATATTCGATGGTTAATTCTGTGAATTCATGTGTTTGCCAGTTGCGTCAGGGTAAGTATCTATTAAGGCATTGATTTAATCGCATAACCTCTTGTTGTATGTACATTTTTGTATTCAATTCAGCCTTTTGAGGTGCTTATTCTCGTTACTTAATTATGTTTACATTTCAGAAGAATTTGAAAAAGTGGCTTATTGATGAAAATATCGGGATTAGTTAGTTAGTCATTCGTTTTGGCCCTGATATTGAAGTTTTATGGAATGATGCTAGACAGAAGAAGCCAGGATCTGCTAATAAGCGTCTTGTAAGTCACTTACATCTTTTTGTGTATATCCCATATTTTTTACTTGACTGTTTGGAGAGATTTGATATGCAATATTGGGAAGAAAATTGTGCAGGGTCTTCTTTAGGTACAAATCTTGTGTCATTTCAAAAGCAGACCGGAACTGTTTGCGGTGGTGATGATACCTTCACATATCTCATGCGTTATCAGCATACTATGGTTCGACTTTTCTTTCTCTTCGTAGTGCTTCTGTTTTTATTTTGATTGAATTTATTTGTGTTGACTCCGCTGAAGGTAAAACTAGTTGATTTCTTGCTAGGTGAGAAATACATGGTCACTTACCATAGCCAAGGACTAAACAACCAGCGAGATGCTAGTATGACTGCATCTTTGTTTCTCTTCTAAATTTCCAACTTTTATTTGTATTTGATTTTTATGCAAAGGATTCTGATTTTTCTCCAACTTTCAGAAAGTAGAGATAAGTGTCTTTGATGTGAGAACTGGGAGGATGGTTTCAAGGGTAGTGCGGATGATTTTTTCGTTGGTAGTTTGTTGCTGATGGGTGAAGGTTCGTTTGTAAACTAGCTCCATTGACTCTTGCTTCTATTTGGTCATCACCCTTTGTTTTTGGGGAGTCTAAATACTCTTAAGTTTGCATAATATCTTTGTAGAAAATCAGTATTCTGCATTTCTGCTCATGTCTATCAGGCTGATTGGATTGTGAAACCATAGCTGGCTGTTTAGAACGTATTTCAGATTTCTAACCGGAGCATAGAATGACTTGCTCTAAACCTCTATTGCAGCAACACTGATTAAGCAAAACTTTGGTCACCTTACTACAATGCTTCATGAGGAGTCCGCATTGCTAAGAACTGTTGGAATCTTTGGGCTTATTTTAATATTTTTGGTCTATGATTCTTGCAATAGTCTGACTATGTCTTTGTCATCAGGCTTCTACTTGATTGCAATCATCACACTAAGTAGCTATGCTAGATATACTTCTTGAAGAAGAAGAAAGAGACAACAAATGAAAAGAAGAAGAACGAGAATGTTGACCCTAACAAACCCAAAAAGCATTGCTTCTTCATTCTTTCTACCCTGGGACTTAAACTTGAAAATACAAAACAGTCAGATCCAATCTCAAAATGTTTTCTAACTAACTGTTCTGTATATAATTTTGTAGTACAAACGCAAGAATCGGGTTTTCAAGAAGAGCTTCCCGAGATCAACAGTTTAACTGTTATCGCCCAAATTTCATTAAAATGGGAAGTAGAGAAATAAGATTCTATTCCTTGTTACTTGTGAAAAATGATTAGTTGGTTTTGGGAAAAATCTTATTGTAGGAACTGGATGAAGAAGAGAGGCAAATAGATAATTCCAGAGCTGTGACTTAATGTACACGAAGTAAATCGAAGCCTTAAAACTTGTGGAAGAATTAAAGCTGACTACATATTTCAAACAACTATTTTGATATGAATACATTCTCGTTTGGTAGTAGTAATACGTAACAAACTAACAGCAATGACATTTTGTGGAAAGCTAAAGGATCCTTTGAAGCGCAAACAACTCATCCATGCATGCAAAGGTTAGTTTCTCTTCTTTACCGTTACTTAGATTAAACTAACAAATCACAAACAGAATGTTTATATGTTAACAAGAAGGTTGAAATAAAACATATATCTTCAAATTTAGTGGGACTACATGTTATGTAGTAATCATAAATTGTGAAGTTCTAGACCAGGAAAGAGAAAGTGAAATGTGCGACTATGTTTCAGTGGGTTTAAGAATAAGAACTTGTACAGTGTTTTGTTTATTTGCATTTGCTTTTTTTTTTTTTTCCTTTTGTTGTAGGTACGATCAAGATGGTGAACCATCACAGCTAGAGCTCTCGTGATGTTTTTGTTAGTCCGGTGGACCCAATGGAAGAGCTTCCTACTGTAACAGAAAACACGGTTCTCCGAGTTCTTTCGGTGGATAAAATTGCGAGTTTTGGTTCAACAATGCTAACTTTTTAATCTTTTATTGAAACAGCTGAATTTGCAAGGAAATGGATAACGTTTTGCAAGAAATTCAACATTGAACATCGAGCCCTTGAGTTCTATTTTTCCAAAAAATTACATAGAGTACTTGTAGGACATGATCCAGCCTACATTTCCCAAGGAGAGACGGGCAATAAATCCATCCCCACTACTGCAATGAAGGTCACTTGAACTACTATAATTGCATAAATTAAATAGCTTTGCTTGTGTTATCTATCGAACATATTTAAGAAATTAAAGAATGAATGTTATATTTTCTTTTGTCTGACGAGAGTATGATTTTAATGGGAAGAATCAATATCCTTGTCGCTGAAGCACAATGGCTCGACAAAGCATGATGTGTTAATCTCTTGCCTGATACCAACCCAGAAGGGTATCCTGGGATGATTCAGGTACATTAATACACATTCCAAAATCACTAACGAGATTGCCCAAAGTAAATCATAGATGAGACCTTACATCAATTTCATTTATCTAATCCCCTTTAGGTTTTGTTTATGTTTTCATTTTTCTGATGTGCTTAGAAACAGTTTTTTTGTTTGTTTTATAAGACGAGTTGCTGCGTACTATTACATAATGTTGATATGACTGCATCTCTAGTAGTTATATTTTTTTTAAACTGACTTTATTTTCTCCTGATCAAGCTTTTCTTGCACTTGGCAGATTTGTGTTTCTTGCTGTTCTTACCAATGGGGCATATATCTTGAACGCCGGAAATAAATGAGGTCGTTTTGTCTCTTCACTTGAACAAATGTCTTTTTTATATAATTTGGCTCGACATTATAGTGACATTATGTGCATACCTTGCAGAATTGGTAGCTGGTCTGGAGAAGGTAAAGTAACTAGTGCAAATGAGTTTCTCTACACATTCTGAATTAGATTTGTTCTTCTCAACGGTATTCTTTTTACCCAACAAACAAGGTAGTTTTCAGAAACTTTTTGTTTTAGATTATGCTACTTGCTCTCTCCTATAATATTTATGCTTTTCTTTGTCAGTCTGGGGACGTTCTTAGGTGTACTTGCCTTCACTAGCAGCAATATACGAGAGGTGATTTCTTTGGGTTTAGTGGAAGAGCAATGTTCAAAGTGTGATAAAATTATCAAAAGCAAAGATGAAAAGCATTCATAATCAATGCTTCAAGAATGAAAGGTTGTTGCAGGGTGAGTTGAACGGGAGGAGGATGCCAGCAACTTGGTTCGAGATAAGCTTGAGTGACACTATTAGACGTATAAATGAATTGATTCTACGGTTTATGTAAAACCGGTTAATTGTAATCGGTTCAATGTCTATACCGAAACTTTCCCTCTATATAAGAGGTTTCTATTGTAAACATTTCATTAAGATGAATAAGATGATTCTGTTTTCAACTCTCTGTAACAAACTTTTCTGGAATCTTCGATTCGTCTAACATGGTATCAGAGCGGTGAAGCTAACTTCACCATAGTCGATCTTCACCATCGTCGATCTTCGTTTGCGATCTTCGTTTTCTTCTTTCTTTGCTCTTGATTGATCGGATCTTTCTCTCCGATTGATCTTTTCTTTCAAATTTGAACTCAAAATGGTTACTGTTCGTCGTACTTCAAAGCGTTTAGCTCACGGAGCTAGTACTTCTACTCCAGCTCGATCGGGGACTGTTCGACCTATTCCGGCGACGTCCACACCTATTCCGGTGAATATCGCACCTATTCCGGTGACTACAGCACCTATTCCGGTGATTTTTGGAGCTAATCCTGCTTCTTCAACAAATTCGATGCAAAATCAGGTTGTTCCGCCTTTGAATACTCAAGATAACTTTGTTTTTGATGGAATCCAGTACTCGCCTTACTTTTTGAATAGTGGTGATAATCCTGGTGCTTCGATAATTTCTGAGATTCTTGATGGTACTAATTACAACACCTGGAATATGGCTATCACTAATGCTTTAGATGCGAAGAATAAGCTTGCGTTTGTTGATGGTTCTCTTCCTAGACCGTCGGAGACACATCCACATTATCGCATCTGGTCACGTTGTAATGCGATGGTTAAGTCTTGGATTCTTAATTCTGTGACAAAGGAAATCTATGGAAGTATTCTGAGATTCAAAGATGCTTCTGAGATATGGAATGACTTGATGGTGCGTTTTCATATCACAAACTTACCAAGATCATATCAGATAACACAGCAAATCTGGTCTCTTCATCAAGGCTCAATGAATCTTTCTACTTATTATACCAAATTAAAGACATTGTGGGATGATCTTGATGGAGCGGATTGTGCTCAAACTTGTCAGAATTGTGCTTGCTGCAGGACTATTTCTACACATTCAGAGCATACTAAGATAATCAAGTTTTTGGCTGGTCTAAATGAGTCTTATTCAAGTGCTCGCAGCCAGATTATCATGAAGAAGAATGTTCCTACTCTTGCAGAAGTTTACAATTTACTTGATCAAGATTATAGTCAGAGGAGTATTAATCCTGTTCAGACTGCTTCAGCCTTCCATGTAGCTGCTCCTGAGATATCATCAGCTCCAAATAATGTGGTCTCTATCAATGCAGCTTACAATGGTCAGAAATCCACTCGTCCAATATGCTCTCACTGTGGTTATAATGGCCATACAAAAGATACTTGTTATAAAATTCATGGATATCCGATTGGCTTTAAACACAAAGGGAAGCAGCCTGCAACTACTACTACAGCTAAACCTGTTGTTGCTCAGTTGGCTCTCAAAGAGTCCAGTGTTAATGAGAACGTCAGTGTTGGTCAACCATTCACTATTCAGCCACCTGCTCTTTCACAAGATCAGATACAGGGTGTTATTGCATACTTCAATTCTCAGCTAGCAGCACCACTTGATCATACTATGATGCCATCTACTTCTGGTGGATTAATTACTGCATTACCTGGTATGGCATTCTCATCCTCCACTTTACACTTTTTAGGGATTTTGAGAGCCACAGGTAATACACTATCATCTAAGTCAATGATCATTGATAGTGGTGCTAGACATCACGTTTCACATGATAAATCTCTCTTTGTGAGTATGTCAGACACTTATAATGATAACTCTGTGACTTTACCAACTGGTCCAGATGTTAAGATTGCAGGAATTGGTCAAGTTCGACTAAATGAATGTTTGGTATTGAACAATGTTCTATATATACCAGATTTTCGATTGAATTTGCTCAGTGTTAGTCAGTTGACGAAAGATATGAATTGCCGTGTGATATTTGATGAAGTATCTTGTATGATACAGGATCCTATCAAGGGCTTGACGATTGGGAGTGGTGAGCAAATCTCAAACCTATATGTCTTGGATAGAGAGTCTATTACAGTTCAAAGTGATGGAAGCATGCCTTATTCTGTCAATGTAGTTGTAGATACTACTTTGTGGCACAATAGACTAGGTCATCCTTCTGTTGCCAAGATAGAATCTATTACCAATGTACTTGGAATCAAACAGAGTAATAATAATAAAGGCCTTCATTGTTCTATTTGTCCTCTTGCAAAGCAGAAGCATCTTCCATACATTTCTCACAATAATATGTCAGAAAATGCTTTTGATTTGCTACATATAGACATATGGGGACTATTCTCTGTTCCAACTACAGAAGGTTATAGGTTTTTTCCTCACCATTGTTGATGACAACAGTAGAGTCACATGGATTTACTTACTGAGAAACAAGTCAGAGGTATTGAAAGTTTTCCCCGACTTTTTAAAGATGATAGAAAATCAATATAAGGCTGTTGTGAAAGGTGTGAGATCTGATAATGCCCCGGAGCTTCAGGTTACTGAATTAAACAGGTCTAAAGGCATTCAATCATATCATTCCTGTCCAGAAACTCCGGAGCAGAACTCGGTTGTTGAGAGAAAACACCAGCACATCTTGAATGTGGCACGATCATTGATGTTTCAGGCTCATTTACCTTTAGAATATTGGGGAGACTGTGTATTAACTGCAGTTTTTCTAATAAATCGCCTACCAACACCTTTGCTGAAGAACAAATCACCATTTCAGGTATTGACAAATAAGAAACCAGAGTATAAAGGATTGAGAGTGTTTGGTTGTCTTTGTTACAGTTCAACCTCTTCAAAGAATATACACAAATTTCAGCCTAGAGCAAAGGCATGTCTATTTCTTGGATACCCTGCTGGTTATAAGGGTTATAAATTGTTGGACTTGGACACACAAACGATACACATCTCAAGAAATGTTGTGTTTCACGAAGACATCTTTCCTTTTGCTACTGGTATGTCTACTTCACCTGATTTCTTTTCTATTCTTGACTCTGCATTAGTTAATGGCCCGACTATAGATAGTACCAATTCAAAAGAAGTAGGAGATTCTTCTAGAATTGTGGAGAATACTATTGATGTCAGTGCTACTAATGCAAATGATAGTCAAGTTTTAGATAAAGGAAAAAGGATTTCAAAGTCTCCTGCTTATCTACATGATTACTACTGTAACATGGTTGAGACTGATATTCCTTATCCCTTAGCTTCATACATGTCTTATGAGAGACTGACAGATGAGTACAAGGCTTATATATGTGCAGTCACACAGTTTGCAGAGCCTTCTAGTTTTCATCAAGCCAAGAAATTTGCTGAATGGATTCAGGCCATGAATGAAGAATTAATAGCCTTGGAAAGTACTCATACCTGGTCTATAGTCTCACTGCCTCCTAATAAACGACCCATTGGATGCAAATGGGTTTACAAAACCAAGTTGAATGCCGATGGAAGCTTAGAACGTTATAAAGCGAGACTTGTTGCCAAGGGATATACACAACAAGAAGGTGTGGATTTTGTTGATACCTTCTCTCCTGTTGCTAAAATGACTACTGTCAAAACATTATTAGCTGTTGCTGCTGCTAAGAAGTGGAGTCTACATCAACTAGATATTTCTAATGCTTTCCTAAATGGAGATCTCGATGAAGAAATATACATGACTCTACCTCCAGGTTATTCAGCTAAGCCAGGAGAAACTTTACCTCCAAATGCAGTCTGTAAGTTGCACAAATCCTTATATGGTTTAAAGCAGGCTTCAAGGCAATGGTTTCTCAAGTTCAGTTCTGTTCTCAAGAAGCTTGGTTTTCAAAAATCACATACTGATCATACTCTCTTTGTTAGAAATATCCATGGAAAGTATGTTGCGGTATTGGTGTATGTGGATGATATTATTATCACTGCTAATGATGATGATACAGTTGATGCTCTGAAGTTGGATTTGCAAAAGGCTTTTAAACTCCGAGATCTTGGTACTTTACAATATTTTCTTGGTTTGGAAATTGCAAGGTCTGCAAAAGGGATTTCAGTTTGCCAAAGGAAGTATGTGCTAGAATTGTTGGAAGAGACAAAGTTATTGGCTTGTAAGCCGTCTTCCATTCCAATGGATCCAAATGTTAAACTGGTGCTTGGCAGTGACGAACCTGTCATTGATGATCCGCAGCTCTACAGGCGCTTAGTTGGCAGAATGATGTATCTTACAATCACAAGACCTGACATCACCTATGCTGTGAACAGGTTGTGTCAATTTACCTCAGCCCCTAAGCAGTCTCATTTAAAAGCGGCTTATAAAGTGCTGCATTACCTTAAGGGTAACATTGGTTTGGGTTTGTTCTATTCTTCTGAATCCGATATGGTTCTAAAAGCATTTACTGATGCGGACTGGGGTTCTTGCAAGGACTCAAGAAGGTCAACCACTGGTTACTGTATGTTTCTAGGAAACTCTCTCATTTCCTGGAAATCTAAGAAACAACCAACGGTTTCAATGTCCTCTGCAGAATCTGAGTACAGGGCAATGTGTTTTTCTGTGAAAGAAGTGATTTGGTTGGTCAATTTGCTCCAAGAGTTGCAGGTACCACAGTCTAAGTCAGTAGCCTTATTCTGTGATTCAACTGCTGCTATTCACATCGCCAACAATGCTATTTTTCATGAGAGAACAAAGCATTTGGAACTAGATTGTCACAAGGTAAGAGAATGTGTTACCAGTGGCTTGGTGAAAACGCTACATGTTACTACTGATCAACAAATTGCAGACATCTTCACCAAACCTCTGTATCCAGCTCAGTTTCTTACTCTCATTGGCAAGATGGCTTTGACTTCAATATACATGCCATCTTGAGGGAGGGTATTAGCCGTATAAATGAATTGATTCTACGGTTTATGTAAAACCGGTTAATTGTAATCGGTTCAATGTCTATACCAAAACTTTCCCTCTATATAAGAGGTTTCTATTGTAAACATTTCATTAAGATGAATAAGATGATTCTGTTTTCAACTCTCTGTAACAAACTTTTATGGAATCTTCGATTCGTCTAACAGACACTCAAATGGCGGATGCTGCTTCACATGGTGTCAGTAAGAAATGTTATTG